TCCCCTCTTCTTGTTAAAACCCTGCAGGTATAATAAACACAAGTTAATCAATAAAACAAGGAGAAACATTACCCAGCTTATAGCTTTTTGAGCATGACCTTGTTGGGGATAAAATACTTCACTTATTTTAAACTTTATGATGTTTTAATAGAATCATCTAAAAAACTGGATCAAATCGCGTTTGTAAAAGGCTGCTGAAAACAAAATGCCCAAAAAGTCTAATAGAAATTTGTGTCTGCCATTTTTCCTTGTGTCACATCACAACAAAGACTGTGTGGCAAACAGCCCTTAACCTTAAAAAGCATTTAAAGTAAGAATAATTCAAAGGTCAGAGTTTAAAAGACTTAACAAACCATCAAAAAGAAACATTTTGTAAAGTATGTTGGGTATAAAAAATAAAATGATTAGTTGTTAAACATGATGAAGGCCTGTGAGGTTACTGATTCTGACCACTTCAAAATAAGACAAATGGCTTATTGGGACCTAAAGGGTTATATTGTTTTTTACCAACAGAATTCAAAATGTATATTTTTGGTCACTCTTGCCTTCATTGGCCATAAATTATATATGCTATGATTATATGATAATTCTTCTTCCTACTTCCTTTCAATTCATGGGGTGAAAAGATTTATTTTTATGTTTAATTGTTATTTTTAGCATATTGAATGAAATGAATTTGGTAAAGAAAACTAAATAACTACACGTAAGGAACAGAAGGAACGACACAACTTAAACAAACAATAGAACAATTTCTAACATCTTTATGCATCTTCCACACAGTTCCTCATATTTTTATTTTATTTAAAGCTTTATCTAAATTAAATTCTTTTTCTGTTAATTGCTGCAAATTCAAACTCTGTAAACACTTGGGATCCAATTAGTTGAACATCTTAAGCTGATTACTGCCACACAGATCTGCGGTAACCAAAGACAAGAGGGATTCAAACCCCCAACCCAGTCAGAGGGCTCTGATTGCAGGTTCTTGAGTGATGTCACATTGTGAGGATGTAGAGCTTGTCCTTGTTTTGTTGTCACTCAGATTCTTCAAAATTTTCCATTAATGTGTCAAACTCAGGGAAGTGGGTCAAATTGGGCAAATCAGTTTACATGAAAATCTTTTGCCAGGTCACATCCCTCTGTTAGAGAGGTCTTCTAGGATTTGGTTCTGAGCCCTCAGGCAGAAAGGCTCTTTTTCCTTTGAATAATTTCCATTGGTGTGTGTGTGTAGCGTTGTTTATCTGTATATTCAAGTAGAGGGTAAAAAGGGATGAAAGCATGCATGAAGAAAAAAAGATGCCCTTGATTTTTTTTTTTTTGTTGTTGCAGATTCTCTATGGAGTGTGCGTGGATGCAGCTAAGTGATATTCAGAGAATAAAAGATGTTCATCACATGTGAAAATCCCATCAGTAACATTTTTGTGTGGGATTAGCTGATTAATGCTTTAATAATGGTTTTATAATACTAAAAGTTTTCTTTTTTTACAATTTACAGTAGTGTGTGTAACTGCAGTATGAATGAATATTATTAGTTAAATTAAGTTTATTTATATAGCACCAATTCAGAAAACGTCATTTCAAGACATTTTCCAGAGACAATTCAACCAGAACAAACTCTATTCTCTATTTAAGGAAAACCAGCTGATTGCATCGCATCACAATCTCTGCAGGAATTATTCTTCCTGGATGATCATGTGATGGCAGTAGGCGTTCGCTTGCATTGTGTCATTTACGCTATAGCAATCCCTGAAACAGAACATGCACGCAGTGACAGTGAAGAGGAAAAACTCCCTTTTAACAGGAAGCAACCTCCAGTAAAATCAGGCTCAGGGTGAGCAGCCATCTGCTGAGGGGTTCAGTATGACACTAGGTCTTTAAATAAATCCCTTTTAGTGAAAATATTATACAGTTCGCAATCACCTCAGTTTCATTTCCTCCATTAAATGGTAATCATAGATGTTATGTACTTGTTTACTAAAAAGCATTGTATACTTGATATCCAATATTTTGGATCAAGCGCTTTTTGCGAGGAGTTGAGGAATCCAGCAGTTTAGAGCTGTCTGACAAAGGCTCTTTTCAGTTTCCAAACTAAACTCTGGCTGGTTGGTTAGAGCTGAGAAAGGGATTTTTCCAGGTTGTATTCTTTATTATTTATTTAATTCAGCTTTTCATTTTTTAGCTTTTTTTCTTTCTTTTTTTTACTTTTGCTTATAGCACATTGAGATACATGTATGTAAAAAGGACTATAAACATGATTCATAGTTATTGTTATTGTTAATTTGTTTGCAATGATTGTAATTATTATAATCCTTTTGCTAAGAACATCATCTTTCTTTCAGAGCTACTCTTAATCATGTGCAGTGTTGTTTTCATCAAGGATGACGATGAAGAAATTATTTTGTTGACGTTCCTTTTTTTCATGACGATAACAAGAACTGACAAGCTAAACAATGATCTTTGTTGAAGAAAACTTGAGAGTTTTGAGCATCATTGTGCTGTAATCTGCTAGGCAGTATCAGCTGTGCTGCTGTGTTCTGTTTGAGCCCACCTGCCGTGCAGCGGTGCTCATTCTGTATGATAACTGATGGATCATGGCAGCATCAGCAGGGTCAAAATAATCCTGAAGGGTATGGGTGTCTGACAGAACACCGGTTTGCTCTCAGCCGTGTGTCTCTTCCTGCCCTCGCTACTTAATAAACTAAATGTGGCTGATCATCTTCTGCCAAGCGTTAAACAATACTTCTATCAAGATTTAATTTCTTCCAGCTCACAAAAGGTGATGCTAAACATTCTTTAACTTCTGCCAAAAGGGATCCCTAAATTATACCCAAAGAAAATACTGTATCTCACTGCCTTCTGTTTGTTTTTGGATAAAGAGCCAGGTTAAAAGGTACATATATTTTTGAAGAATTCTTTCTCTTAGTTCTCATTTCTATCTATTCAAATATGATGTAAATGTTTCCTTGAAATTTCATTAAAACATTTTCTCTGTTTCCTTTAAATATTTCAACATTTTAGTTCACATGTTCATACAGTTTAGGTCTGGATTGCCATTGAATTACAAGGCAATTATGTAGGTTCTCTGTGTATTTTGTTATATCCGAACCCTGTGAATTTAAATCTACTTTGACCCCTGAGCGGTGGTAACTAAGGGGCAAATTGAAGAAATAAAACCATAATTGCCAAAGTAGAAAGAAATATTTTTTTGTTCTTTGCTTTTTTGGAGCAATAAAGATTGATTGATCTGTGTGTAATGCATAATTCATAGTAGACCAGAAAGTGTTTGCTTTTGAATGGAAACCTTTGTTGTCTAAAACCATTCCTTTATTGTACATTTCGTCAGCTTGTCTGTCTGTTATATTAACCAATATGATGTGTTTAACTAGATCTATGCATTATTTCATAAAAAAGTTTATTTGAATTCTATAATTCAAAGTTTTCTGCCCCACAGCAATGATGAACTGCACGGCAGCATTCTATACCCAGCAATTGTAGTATCTAGGCAAGAGCTTTCAGTCTGGTAAAGAATCTAGTTGTCATTACAAATTGTAAAGGTTAACTTTTTTGCAAAGGTTAACTTTTTTTGCAACATAAAACTGTCTAAAACTAGACTAGACCTTTTTAAGTTTTAGTAGACTAAAACCGACTAAAACTATCACATATCTTAATGACTAAAATGTGACTAAGACTAAGACCTGAGTTCCTTGCACTTTGTGGTTTTGGCATGTTTGGCAGAAGGTTTGGACACCCAGTGTAAACCAATCTAACTTAGCATTACAAGTAACTTTACTGGGAGACAGCAAAGTAGCTTTTGAATGGACATTCTATAGCAGTTTAACTGAATGTTATTTTATTCTTTTATGTTAGTGTTTCAAAGCTGTGCAACTAGGTTCTGTCTTAGAAACAACATCTTTTTTTATTTACAGTCATGATTTGTGCAAAATATAACTGATGTGTCCTTTGATCTTTTTGCTAATGACAAGGTTGTGTCATGCAAGCAGAGCTGCATTACAGTTTTTTGATCCCCAGGTTGTTTGACGTTTCTGAGTCAAAAAAAAACTGGTTGCTTGATATTGATTATTAACTTCTCCTCATTGAAAACACCCATACTAGTTTGGTTTCTCTATTTAGTGATTTAGCGAAGTATTACATGTAAAATTTCCTAGAGAGGAAAGCAAAAAAAGTGAGAGTAAGTTAAATAAAATATTTTTGCAGCAGAACACATGCTGCCTATGGTGAGATATAAGAGGGGAAAAACAGAAGAAAATAAATGCCTAAGAACTTTTGTAATGCCAAATGCCACTGTGCCAAAATGGCTGTCTGTTTCTTATCAACACACATCTCTACTTATTTTAACTTTAATAGGAACTTTAGTATAGCAGTTGGTCAGAGTTTTTGAAAAAAAAATTTTAACTTTCTGCTGTGTTCTTGTAACCCAGTGACATGAGTGTGGATTATCAGACCTGTAGATTATTATTTTGGGTGTAACTTTCATTTTGGTATTAAACAATAAACTTTGTAGTTCCTAAGATTTATTCAATACATTTTTTTACGTGTCATTTTCAAGCAGAATGATTAAAAACAGGCCTAGAGAATAAACAAAGAGAGCAGCTCACATTCAGTGTTCAACAGTACAAACAGAACCCAAAATGTGCTTTTTCACAATGCTTTTATTTCCAACAAGATATAACTGAACCTGAAGCTCCACCGGTCAATTGAACTGAGAGTTGTTAAACATATTTTAAAGACGTTGTTAACATCATCAAGTTCCTTATTTTTTTTAATGAATTCTTCTAATCAGTTTCTTTTAACATTTTGTTTTGTTTAAACATCCATTCATCCATCCATCCATCCATCCATTATTTGGCTTAAAAATTGACACCTTATATCCTAATAATCTTTGCATCTATAAATAAAGATTTTCTAAAAATCAATTGCCTCAGTGTGGGTTCTCAGGCAGGTGATATTTCAACGCATGTCTTTGTGGTGTTTTTGTGTTCCAGGTGGCTGAGTTGGAGGCCCAGCTGGGGCGTCCTGCCGCTGGTCAGCCTGGTAAAGAGGAGCTGAGTCGGGCGTTGGAGGAGCTGGAAGCCTTGCTGAGAGCCAAAGAGCAGGCAAGAAACCAATCCCTCCCCCTCCACTGCATGCTGTCCAAATCTATTTGCCATCTTATTAAAGAAAATCTAAGAGTGGAAAGCTAGCCCATTAATACAAAGGCATACATAATACCCTGCCAGCAGTGAGCTAGATGAGCAAACCTTCATCTCCTCCCTGTGGAAACGTCTCCTGAAACATTCATAAATCAATCATTTGTGAATGGATAGGGATAGAAAAGAGCAAGTGTCAGTTTGAGTAATTTATCTCTAAATCATCCCTAGGAAAAAAAAAATATTTCTGGGTCAATAGTAATACAATTAATCTGGCAAATAAGTGTTTGTAAATGAACTTGGACATAAAGTAAAGGGGAATAAATGAGTTTTCTAGTTTTAATGTTATTAGAGAAATTGATCTATCTGCTGTTTAAAACAAACCTGTAGGTGTTGGTTAGTTCTGTCCTGAAAACATTGAAAAAATGTCCCGTGAGCAGCATTAAATGTTATACCAGGTTAATATCTTTTAGTTGTTTAGCTAAAAAAATAAAATAAAATAAGATGTGTTTGATGAAGCGCAATAACCTTTAGAGCTCTCAATTTACCTGTCAGTCTAAGTTCCGACTCTCACCTATGGTCACGAAATCTGGATGATGACTGAAAGAACGAGATAATGGATAAAAGCAGCTGAAATTAGCTTTCTCTGCTTGGCTGAGCACTGCCTTAGAGATCGGGTGAGGAGCTCAGTCAAACAGGAGAGGCTCTAAAGAAAGCCATTTCTGCTTCACAATCAAGAGGAGTTAGCTGAGGTGGTTCAGACACCTTTGCTCCCTGGACGCCTCCCTCAGGAGGTGTTCCAGGCATGTCCTGGGAGGAGGCCTAGAGGTCGACCCTGGAAGGACTATGTCTCTCTGCTGGCCCTGGAACACCTCTGTCTTCCCCCAAAGGCGATGGAGGAGGCATCTAGGCCGAGGGAAGTCTGGGAGTCTCTGCTTAGAATCAGGCTTCAATCATTTACTATAGTCTTAAAGTTTTAGCCAGGAACTCCACCCGCCTTTAACTGCCAGGGTTGTTAGATCTGTGTGTTTCCAGCTCTAAGTCAATGTGAAACATCACCACCTCAATAAGAAAAAAAAAACAAAGCATCAATTCTTCTGATCCTTCTGTTAAAACCACAAACCTATAAAACACCTAACATAGAATATAGAGCCATGTTATTATCATGGTATTACCAATGTTCTGACTTCGGTATTACAGGAGTTACAAACAGTAAGCTTTGCATCATCATCTGGGACATCAGTTATTTTTTTATTTCTCTCCCCTAAACAACATCTCGGGATGGATATGGAGCTGGAAGTGGAAGCTATGGGACCGACATCAGCAGGTTTTTGATAACAATCCACCCGTGTCTGGCTCATCCCCGCCATAATTTGTATCCTCTCGCCGGGAGCACAGAGCACAGAGTAGGAGCTCCTTGAGTTCATTCCGCCTTAATTCCATAGGTTTAGTACAACATACAGAAATTGTAAGTTAATATAAAACACAAATATATATTTAAGCACTAAATATAGGATAGAGTAATATTTCTACTGTGTGTAGCCTATAATATGTACATGTACACTCCAATATACTATTTGATTTTTATTATAAGAATGTGTTTGACAACAGTTTTCAATGAGATGAGAACATTTAGACAATGTGAAACGATGAGATCATTTTTTTTATAGAACATGTTGAAACGAAGGAGTCGTTGGCTTTCAGAGAAAGGAGTTTACACTGTTCCCAGCGTCCTGTTTTTGAAGCAAACGCTCTCATATATATATTTTTTTAAACAATATCGCTGGTGATATTCTGCTATAACATGTGACGTGAAGAATAAAATAATAATGCTCATCTTTTATGAAGATAAGACATCTCACGTTTAGTAGGTTGGAATTGAGGCGGAGTGAACTGTGTGCGTGTTCCCGGGGAGGGGATACAAATTCTGGCAGGGATACCTATCTTGGCCCGATACCAGCTAATGTTCTCTCTCTGCTCCAGGTGAGACACTCTAGATACGTTCGCTGACAGCTTCTCCTAGTAGTTTTTTACTGAACAACCAAGCAATGAGGGAACAAAATAAAAAAAAACATGTCCTTCTCAAAATTTTCCAAACACAGTAGAGATGCTGTGGAGTGGTCATACCTTTCCCTATCTAGTCTCCTGCTTCACCCACTTTGGAAGCAGCTTAGAAACCTTCTGGCTTGAAGCACAGCTGTATCAATCCATTCAAACTTCTGCAGCTGTCCATAACAAAAAAAGCACTGTTCCAATACTCAGTCACTCTCTTATATATGTCAATCCTGTTTTCTCCCTCAGTCACTGAGCGAACCCAGAGTCCTCTGAATGGAGGAGGTTTTTTTATAAAAACTATGTAATGCGGACGCCCTTCATATCATTGTACGGATCATCAGTATTGCCGTTTTGGTCTACAAACAACACTATTAAATGTTAATATCAAGTTATCGATACTTAAATGTTGTATCACAACTTAATCAAATAAAATAATCAGCTTGATCAAGTTAGGATTAATTGAAAAACATAAACTAACTACACAGATAAAATACACACTAAAGGGATATTTTATGAGTAGGAAATAAACAAGCAAAATCCATTTATAACGGACATCCATCTTCCCAGTTACACACTAAGTCCTAATGTGTTCTTGCCACAGGTCCCTTTAGGCAAGGCACTTAACCTAAAGTTGCCTATATATCTTTGAATTGATATATGAAGGTTTGCATGTTTGTGAGTGTGACTGGATGAATTTAACCCTAGTGCAACTGTGGTGGATCCTTCTACCACCGCAAAGTTTATTTAATTTCACAGTTCTGCAAATGCAGATCAGCTGGAGGTGGAAGCATCCAGGAACAAACCACTTTCCCAAGAGCTGAGGGGGGGGATTTTGTTTAAGTTTACTTTAGTTATTTTGTCACCTTAATCAATTAATTGTGCTAAGTGAGAGTTTTATTTATGTTTTAGCTTTGTATGGACTTTTTTTATTTATTGCTTCTCTTTTATATTGTGCCTCCCTCATGTGGAAAGTTTAGGTTATTCCACCCCTATTTAAGCAGCCTATGTACTTTATCAGAAGGTCAGTTTTTTTGTTTGAGTTGGTTCCTCTTCAGTTGACCTCAGTCGAGTTGGGCCCAGATCCATGTTTTTTATTATTTAAGTTATTTTTTGTTACTTTTGAGCCTTTGTTAACTATTTTTGACACTGGTAAATCAATTTTTGAACACTTTTTATTCTTATTTAAGTTTGGTCCCTCACAGCAACTCACTTTGAGTGGTTGAACACTAAGAAATCTGTACAACTTCAGTCCATTTAGATGGTTCAGTTCCTCATTAATGGTTGCTTTGGCAATGTTTTAATATCATTTCTCTGACTGCAGGAGATTCAAAATTTACAGAGCAGGAAAACAGATGTGGGGGAACTGGAAAAGGAGAAGGACGAAGTCATTCAAAGACTTAAGGTTAGTTTGATTACAAGTTCTCCTTTTAAACTTCTGCTTATTTATCAAATTAAAAATGTTTATGTATTTCTAGTTGAAGTTTTGGTAATTTGATATTTGAAGAGTAAGAAAATCAGTTACAGCATAATTTGTATCACTTCACTAAACAAAGGGAGGTTCTGTAATCATGCTTTGCACCATCACACTCTCTCTTTGTTATAGTGTCTGTGGTCCATCTTGATGCTCTAAATGTATTTTAAACCAGACATTGACTCACAAGAAACTGTTGAGAATTTAAAAGGGTAAAATAAATGGTTTATGTTGTCTTGAATCAGAGGAGGTGATCTGAGGGCTTCAAGGACAGCATATTATGCTGAATTTCCTTATTAATGTTGCAGACTGCAACTGATGCATATTGCATAGTCTCTATTAGGTCGTCTGTCTTTCTTAGCTGTGTGTCAGGTATGAATTATGGATGATCGCTTTCGACCTCTGTAGTCCTTGTGTTCAATTGACAATTTATTCTTGGCCATATTTTTAGACCCTCATTCCATAAAGCACAGCTATATAAACTGTTTTAATAAACCTCCTAAACAAGGATAACTTTATAAAAACAGTTATACTTTGTTCTTATACAGCTTTGGCCTTTCGTGATAATATTAGCTCAATTATTTTGCATAATATTAATCATTGTTATCAGAGTGCCTAGCATAAAAAAAATTCAGTTTTTCTGTGTTTGAAAGAGAATTTAGATTATTATGTTAACTGATTTACTAAAGCTTCTAACATTTCAACATCATTCCTGATATATGAGAGATGGAGTTCAGAGGTTGAATGGCTTAAAAAAAATGTATAGCCTTCCTGTTACCTGATAGAAGTGTTGCTCTTACTCACAGACCAAATAAGACATAAATTTGATAAAAAAATATAGCTCCCTTTTATTAGCGTTGTAGTTTTTGGTTCCTTTTAAAATAGCTGTTTGTCTTCTTTCCTCATTAAAAGCATTTCACATTTAAGAGAGTTGTTTAAGCACATCGTAGTTGCAACTAATGCAGTGTGTTAATTGATTACAAAGTTAAAGTGTTTTTTTATGTTCTTATCAGTTTGCCTGTCACTCACCAGGGTCAATTGTTGTTACTTTTGTGGTAATTATATATATATAAATGTGTATATATACCGGGTATATATATTATAATGATGTTAATTATTAGATTTTTTCTTGAAGCAAAAAAGTCTTGAAAGATGTCTTTCTCTCTGTACAAATAATGTTTCTGCAGGATCTGGAGAGACGAAACACCGAGCTGGAGGGTCGTGTTCAGAGCGCTGAAAAAACGCTGGCCACGAATCGCGAGGAGCAGGAACAGTCAGGAGTTGAAATCCACCGAATCATTGGGGTTCTGGATGTCAAAATTGGTGACCTGAAAGGCCTGAGAGAAAGCTTAGCAAAACTGATCGATAAGTAGCCACAGCTGGAGCTGGGATGCATCTCCACAGTCTGTGCTCATGTCCTCCATGGAAACCTTGATTAGTGCTGAACTGGAGCAACAGAAGAGCAAAGATCAAAGAGATAGGGTGGAAGTCAGACTGAGGTTTTTTTTCTGTTTCTGGGAGAATGAGTGATTGACATTACCTTTTTCAGTGACTCGCTGTCCTTTGTATTACCTGCCACTACTGACTAGTCACTCTGAGTGATGAAGATCTGTCAGCTAAAGAATGGAAGCCTTTATAGCTGTTGATGCTGTAGTATTAAACTAAAAAAACTAAACTGGGGCCTCATTTACAAATAACAGACATATATTTATACTTGCACTAAATTTTAAGGTACTTTTAGGTGTTAATGATGACTTAAGAAATATAGTAATCATATCAAATCTGGATCACATTACCCCTTATTGGAACAAACAATCAAACTTAAAAAGAAAACTATTAACCATAAACAGAGCCTGTAGTTTCACCACCTCTGTTTGGTATCTGTCTGCAGTGTCTTAACTTTCCTTTGATTCTGGTGGAAAACAATCATTGTGAATCTGGAATATGCACACTCTCATGCTAGTGTCAGTACAAAAATATTTATTTTTTTCCATCAAATTTCACTCCTGCAAATTCCTAAAGACATTTGCATTTCAATCCCCTGCACTGTCTTTAAACCCTCTGTGTTTAATTGATCGATATTTTAAAATCTTTTAACAGACAAGTATTATTTTGATTAAATATAACCAAACCTTCCTTGAGATACCAAATAAACATTGTATGATAATGGTCATGTTAACTGACAATTATCAAGTATATTAGGAATACAATTTGGAAGAAAATGGGAATTTGGGTTTGGGATCACTTTGAAAACGAATCAAGTGCATCTAGTTTTTAGATATTTCTTATCACTATGTGCACTGCTTAATGTGTTTGCATCTGCATGACTCACTCAACAACAGTGCCAACTCAAATTAGCATTTGGAAAGAAACATCCGTGAACTTTCCTTTGAGATAAAAATCACTCCAGCATCAAAGAAGGTCGTACTGTTTTAAATCCTTTTTATAAGTGAGGCCCTTTAAGAGAGGTTAAAGTAAAAAGAGGAACTAAGGGTTGACAGCCTTTTAGCTTAATATGTTCACACTAATCAAATTAATGATCCGAAATTAATAACGTGAAGCCTCATTTACAGAAAGTAATGGAAAATATCTTTTTAGAAGATTACATGTTAAATTTCCAACAAACGGTAATGATTTTGCTTAAACTTCATTGATGGACCTTGATGTGTTGGTTTATTCTCCATAATTGAGAGCACAGAGTGATAATGAAACTCTGTAATACACAAAAACCTTGAGTGTGAGTTTGAAACGAGGCCAGGGAAAGCGCAGCTCTGTTTTCGCCAGTGCTGCATGTACACATTTATACCAGTCGGGCATGTCTGGACAGACAGTACAATAACTCTAAGGGTGAAAGTTACATCAGTGCTTCATCAAAATTCAAGATGTGTGGTTCAAGAAAACTAGAAAGAGAGTGAAATGCTTTTCTTTCTCATACTGTAGCTTAGACTGATGTCTTCAGAATATTAAAACAAAAGCCTGAATTCCTTATATGTGGTTGTAGAAAAACAGCATTTAGTTTTAAATCTACTTGTTTCTGTTAGTGAATTATAGGAATATTTCAATTTATTGACGTACATAAGTGAAACACCTGCATTGCCATGACTCTGTGGAGATGCACCCAGCAGAGAGTCCAGTTTGGAAACATGAAGGCAAAGACCTTGATTTGAAGCGGCTCACCACCATCCACAGGCAGCAGGATCACACCAGCCTGAGCATCAGCAAACTTAGAGATGCAACCCATTCAACTCCAGCTCTTTCTCTTCTGAGGACCGCCAGCACAAAACTGTTTATATTTTATAAGAACTGCTCTTTCTCACCACTTATTCTATTATTCATGTTCATCGATGTGTTGCTTGCACAGCCGGGATGAAAAATCTGCAGCACTAAGCATCCAGAAATCAAGAAAGATTTTATTTTCTTTTAAGTGCTGAATTTAAATTCAAGCTGCAGCTCCTTCACAAACATCTGCATGAGTTTGCTTAACTTTTGTCTCACCTTGATGTTGAGTTCATCTTATTGCATTTCATCATGCCTGTGCCAAGTTTAGTTGTTTACATTTGTCAGTATTTACTGAAATAGAGAATCAAGCTTAACTTTATGTATTTACTTTAACAAACACTATTAACAATATGAGTAATAATTGTGAGGATTGCTCTGCATCAGCTCTGCTGAAACCCTTTACCTGCCAACTAATGTGAAGCTGTGCGTGAACAGCCCCAAACTGCTTGAGGTAAAAAAAAAATTAAAAAAAAAACACATCTGCAGTAGATGTAGTAAACTGGTACTTGGCTGACTTGCTTGTCAGAGTAAGATGTGAACTTCAGATGCACAAAATGCATTGATTTTTGCTTCTCTGCAACTGATGAGTTATTGATTTGTTCATGACAGTTGTATAGGTACAAATAGGGTGCTGCTTTTTGCAGCTGATGGAGCAGTGGTGACCAGAACGCCGATCAAGATGTGAAATCAGCTTATGTATCAAGCTGCATAACAAATCAGTTGCACCAGTTACTGCAAACACTGGTTTGAAAAATTCGTTTTTACATCTTGAACTTTATTTTTCTCGGCAAAATTTGCAAATTTCTTCTATTTTAATTTCCTTTTATTGAGATTTTACAAAATACACTAACACAAAGTAATGCATGATTGTGAAATGGAAGACGAGCAATAGTTTTTTTCCAAATCTAAAATTGGACATGCTTTTGTATTTAGCCTCGTTTACTAAGATATATTGAAATAAAATATAGTGCAACTAAATCCCCTTAAGAAAACCTGTTACTCGTCAGCACTATTTTGAAATTCCATCCAGAGTTCTTCCATCAGTTGGATTTATGATTAATTAATATCCAGCTGTTCTGTGAAGACCTTGGTGCAGTGGTCTTTAACTGCAGTTCTTCAGGGTGAATGTCCTGAGACTTTTTATCTCCCAATTTAGAGCTAAACTGCTGGCTTGTGGGGCAATTAGTGTAAGGGATGCCAGCCCTGAGCTTGATAGGCAATGACAGCATGAATCAGTGAACCAGGGTAGGGGCCTGCAGTAACTTAAGAGAAGTTGCAAAGATTGGGAGATAAGGTGGGAGATTCCTTTTACAAAGAATGACTAAACGGAAATAGTTGCTAAAAAGGGCTGCACAGTGGTTTGCATTTTCTCCCCGTGAATGTGTGGGTTCTCTCCAGCTTCCTCCCACAGTCCAAAAACATGACTGTTAGGATGATTGGACTCTCTAAATTCTCTGTAGGTGTGGACAGGTGTTTGTCTCTATGTTGCCTTGCGATAGACTGGCGGCCGGTCCAGGTTTTACCTCCCGCCCATGAACAACTGGAAATAGGCACCAGCACAACTCACGACCCAAGCAGGGATAAGCATGATGAAAAATGAATGGATTGGCTAAAAAGAAACTTCATCAGATATAAGGTTTATCAAAATCTATGTAGGACATACAGTCCACATGAGACCATAATAACAATTGTTTGGCGTTAAATGGAAAACAAAGTGTGGCTGAAAGCTAATGCAGCACATCTCCAGGATGAGACATGGTGGCAGAAAAAAAATACAGACATCATCAATGTTCAGGTCAAAGCATATAGATATATAGGTAATGGCCTAGTTAAAGAAACTGAGAATCACTAAGACGTTTCTCTTGCTGGTCGTTAAGCTATTAGAAAGGAATTAAGTTTTCCAAATGTGCAACTGTATGAGGCACACCAAAAAAATTACAAAGCTAGGGGCTGAATACAAATCATTGCATTCCTTTATAGTAGAGTACAAATTTGTGTTAGTCTATAAAACAAAATCCCAATAAAATCTGGTTGTTTTAAGATAGAAATGTGAACATTTCAAAGGACATGGAAGTCGCTTTAACTTGACGTGTCTAACAGGTTTTCATTTAGTTATTTGGGACAAATATACTTGGCGAAAAATCTCACTAGGTCAAATGCCATTAATCATACATCGCAAATGTTTCACATTGGAATGGCAAATTAAAGATCAAATATGGTGCATGTGACTGTCTCTGATTTAGCAATACTTCTATCACAGTTGCCTGTAGAATTGAAGTCGTTTGTAAATTAATACATATTTCAGTGATTTTTTTTTTTTTTTACCATGGAATGGATTATGAATTGCCTTTTGCACGGAAAAGCCCATCAAAGTCAAGGCACAACACAACAGCCTCATTTCTGTTTGACTTCTGCACAGTAACCTTGAGAATAATATATTACACTGAGAAAAGAACAAGCAGGATGCACTGTTACTGGACTTTTTTTTAGGTTTGGTGTTGACAAGGATTAGGTTTAACTGTGTCAAAAGAAAGTGAATGATATTGTTTTGGTAATTTTATGCAGCAAGTACAGTAATTACCATTTCTGCCTATTTGTGATGCTCTGCTTAAAATAAGTCCTTTTACCAGCTTGTTCTCAAAAGCTGCACAATTGAAGTAGCACACATTTTATGAGCTGTTCCTTTCCATATTTGCTTGTGAAAAGTAAAAGAAAACCTTGTATCCTTTGTGTGTTGGTTTATAGATTTTTAGAAACCATTAAGAGGCACAAAGGAAGTTGCCGCCATGAATTATCTGCAGTAATATAAAAGGATTTCCTCTTTCATACTTTAGGATGAGTAGAAAGCATGCACCAAGCTTAGAAAAAACACATTACCAAAGATGTAACATTAAAGTCACATGAACTGGAACAAACTTGGCCAGAGGGAAGCCGATGTTCATCTCCATAGTTTTGTTTTTCCATGTTCTTTCCTTCTGCTAGAAATTTGTTCAACCTCTAAGTAGGACTCCAAATACCTCAGAACTGTTTATCATGTAGTAGAGGCCTGTCTGACTAAAGTATTTTCCAAGAAGTGAGCCGTCGATGGAACCATCAGTGTTAAAAGAGGACTTTTGTGGGATTTGAAAATGAGATGATTCCATATTTGTACTGAGCTGTTTTAAACATTAAAATGTTGCCCTGCAATAGCCCTGTTTTTATTATTTGGTTTTGCCGTTAAGCCATTTGGCAGTTCAAGTATAAAGCACATTTCTCAGTTCTGAAAGAATTTATTTGTTTTATTTACTTTGAAGTGTTGGATAGGAAATATTCTGTGCTCAATTCCAAAATATGATCTAACGTGCTTAGACCAGATAATATTTTTAAGTTGGGAAACATTCCCATTAAACAGCTAAATTTCCAGGAAAATGTTTGAGTTATCTAGGATAATATATTGTGCAGGTTTCTGAGAATAGAACTCTGATGCAAACTCCTCACCCATCTTTAATCTTTATTTGAGAACATCTGGTAAACACAATGATTCTAATGCAACATCCTATTCTAGGTAAATACATCACCTTCATATGGCAGGTAAAATACCGAATAACACACACCAGACTGGCTTTGTCATTTTCTCATATTTATTTTAACACAACATGGCACAGAATGCCAATCCAACCGAAGAATTTACTTCAGCTTCTTCTTGGGGCGAAGGTTGTTGGTGTGTCCGCATTTCTTCTTGCGGCAGTTGACGGCACGGGGGTGCAGACGGGCATAACATCTGGAGAAAAGAAAAAAAGCGTTCTTTATCAATCTTTTTAATAAACTGATGTTTAATATTTAGAAAATAAAACTTTAAAAACATTATTTAAGTCAGGGCATTAAACCAAACATCTGTTTAATAAAACTTAAAGGTAAAAAAACGAACGAAAATTTAACAGTTCTAGCTCAGTAAGTTTTAATTCTGAATATTTACCTCCAATAATGCCATGGGTTTGAAAATAATCTCAATTCTTTGAGTTCAGCCTAAACAAAGCAATGTTTTATGAAAGGCTGAACTTACTTGCGACAGATCATCTTGTCACAGTTGTACTTCTGGGCCAGCATTCTGAGTGAGGGTTCAATGATGCCACCACGCAGACGGAGAACCAGATGGAGGGTTGATTCTGGTGCACAGAAAAAAACAATTCAAACAATTGAACATCTTGGTAGTTCCTTTATTAGAACAATACATTTGATTTATAGGAGGAATAACAAATCTAAAAGGTTAATGCTTTCCTTTTTTGTGATACCTCTAGACAATCATGCTGTAGATTAAATGATTGACAATTACTTTCCCCCCAAAGTCCTAGAGCTCATATTGTGATAAAAACGCCTTACCTTTCTGGATGTTGTAGTCTGACAGCGTGCGCCCATCCTCAAGCTGTTTTCCAGCAAAGATCAGACGTTGCTGATCAGGGGGAATACCTGCAAATGCAAACACACAGATAATCCCATTTAAACAAACTGTACAACTTAACTTTAGAATCAATAAGATCAAAAGACTGCATCATCAAAATAATCCAAACAGTTTCAGGTAAGTGAAAAATGTGGATACATTAGGTCACTTTCCTTTCCTCTAAAAACACATGAACACCAAGGAGACTGATTTTATATATATATATATATATATATATATATATATATATATATATATATATATAACACACATCTCAAATTCAAATCCATTTATCCATCTGTATCTGTCCACAATTTTCTTATAAATTAGTAGCAATACCTTTTCTAAGCATTTCCAATTCCATTTAGAATTTTTACCTTATTTCTTGACTGTATTTAAAACAACAAAATAAAAAACATTTAATTAAAAACTGCCCCTACCCTTGTTTCACTGAAATTGAGTTTTTGCCAACAACTTGAATATTGATTTACTTACTTGCTATTATGTGTTAAAACCAGGCTGGGGGCTTAAGTGACCATATAAGTAAGTAATTTGAATACCAATTACTTATAGTAGGTCTGCTAAAATTGAAATCTGTAGCTGCGATTTTTCCCCGAATCTGGATTAACATTGACCATGTCATTCATCATTCCAGCAGTGCTGTACATTCTTTAATTGGATTTTCTTGAAGCTGATTTTGAGAATTTGAGCTCAGGCTTTCACCTCCCAATTTAGTTGTTTGAGGTGTATACACTGATTCAGTAAGAACTATAGGATGGGTCAGCTAAATGTTAAAATCAAATACTGACCACAATTACGATAATTCTATTATTCTATACTTAATTTCTTGGCAAGACCTGATTAATGACAAAAAAAATATTTCCTAAACCAAGTTGGAACCCTGATTAATTCCTCACACCTAGTGATTTAAACCCAACTTAACAAAATAATCCCTAAATCACCTCAGAAGCCAGCAAATAAAACAGCACTGTAGATTGTAAGAGAAAATGCAGCATTTCAAAACAATAACACATACTTACCCTAAAATAAATGCAGCATAGAGTTAAAGCAACGACCTAACAATGGCTTTCAGTTTGGTGGTTACAATTTTAAAAACAGACGGGTCATTAGTCATCATTTTACCCATTTTTATTTAAAATGTAATCTATTTTTCAGAGAAAAAATTTTACCATTTCACATCTTTTGAAATATTGCTAACATACATACAGTAATTCTATAGAAGTAAATGAGCTAGCAACTTTTCGACTCTAAGAAGAATATTTTTTTTATCCGACCTTCCTTGTCTTGGATCTTTGCCTTGACATTTTCGATAGTGTCGCTGGGTTCAACCTCAAGGGTAATGGTCTTTCCCGTCAACGTTTTCACGAAGATCTGCATGTTTGCTGACTGGGGGAAACAAATCTGCGTTAGAATGTTACAGGCAACCGGCTCTTATACTTAAGTGCTACGGAAATGGCAGCATTCATATTATTAGTACACACTACTGACAAAAAGTTAATGAGGCGTTTTGGTCACACAATAAATATAAAACAACACAAGTTACCTAAATAACTTGTTTGGGAAAAAAGGAAATGTAATTTTAGCCATTAGCCAAGTTAGCTCGCTGAAAGGCCGCGCCACATGCCTACCGTTAGCGGGCATTTTAGATACGATAAAACCCCTTATTTGCCCAAAACACATGATATATAACTACTGAAACAGTGTTTTATTCTTTAATATGCGACAAAAGTCATTGTTTTATATATGTTACATTTCAAAGTGGCTAAAAACTATAAAATTATACTCGGACAAAACGTGTACTAACCCGGCCACTAGCTGAGCCTCAACGAAAAGGGGGCGGAAAGGGCTGCTACTATTTTACGTCACTTCCTCTTCTTCTTTGTGAGGTTGTCAAACGACTTGAATGTCGTTATCGACACCTACCGTTATGTATTGTGAAAAAAACTGAACTGTATTCTAGTTAATATATTTACCTGCTACACAGTTATATCCTATATATACAATAATCAGTTTATACTACAATATATCTTTATCTGATATAAAATATTATTATTAAACAATATCCTAAACTTTTATGTTTTTTTCTTAGTTTAGGAAATAAACCACATCTTTTTAATATTCCTTTTATCTATCAATTCTATTTTCTTTTCTAACCTCTCCATATATTCTTTAAATCCCTTTTCTCTACTACTAAACATCCTTTTTTTTTTATATTAACACCTGTACTAATAACCGGATGCCTCTGTTCTTCTGTCCATCTCCAACCTCCATACAAACGTCTAATGCAAGAACCATTCATACAAAGAAATTTGTTCTTAAATCGTTCATATGAGTGACTTAGTAGAAAATATCGCATTCACCATTTTTCTCCTATTTCTAATCTTCTCTGAGGTATGAACAACTTTCACAAATGCACCAGACTTGACATGGACTTATACAATCAGTCAGTTGTTATCCAAACTAGTTTTTTACTAAATGTCTACATTTGTTTTAATTAGAAACAATAATATACATAATAAGGCTACATCATTGTATATTATGTAACTCTGCAATTATGAAATACATTTATTTGCTGATGACAGTACTATTGCTCACTATACCTGCAGCTGGTATGTATCCAGAGGAGACTGGCTCAATTTAGTTCATCAAAAGAAAGAACAGTCAGAGATCAAGTTACTATTGAAATAGCATCTAGAACAGAAAATGGATAGAAAGTTCAGCAGCATGGTAACACTTCTTTTCACTCCATCACAGCTCCTTCGCTTTGTTATTACATAAAATGTTGAAATTAGAGTTTCAGCATTAACATTTTGTTATGTGATGTGTGAGAGAGCTGATAAGAGCGATGAAGGGACTTTGTCTGGAGATGTACTGTGCACATGTGCTGTATTAAAAGGGAATTAAGCAGAATGTTTTGTCATGTTGGTTGATGTCGAACTCACGTTTAATCTACAATGTGACATCTAATGGTCAGACTGCAGACTGTAGAGACATGAACCGCACCCAACACTGTCTCTGTCCAACTATATGGAGGCCGTTATGGTATAAAATGGCTTGTGCCATGTCTGCTCTCCTATCTTGTCAAGTAATTACAATGTTGATTAACATTAGATAACAGCATCTAATCCATGATTTCTTCAACACTGTTGTGTCAAGTACATTAACAAGTATACAAATTAGGGGATGAAAACATATCATGAATTTACCACTTTTTACTGAGACAAGTTTTTTTAAATCAAAACGGAAGACAGAGAAAATAATGTGACAAAGGATAACGAGGGGAATGCTCGTTCACTTAAGCACAGGTGGACTGCATGATGTTTAAGAAGATTACTTACTTTAATTTATTGAAGTTAAAGGTATATTGGAGGATTTTCTTTTGCAGGGTGGATCATCTAAATAAGTGGTCATCCTAAATGTCAAACATTCTAGTGATATGTTTACCTAAGGCCGTCGTACGAGCCTGTCCCCATTTTCACTTACCGGTGATGAGTATGACATAGTGGAAAAATTGCAAATCTTCTTTTGGAAAGTAAGCTTGAATAAGTGATGCAAACAGAAACTTTTAAACAGAGCATGCACAAGGACAAATGGGCTCGTGAACGCTCTTGGGAGCGCGTACAGGGTTGTGCATGTGCATTTTTTTAAAGTGGAGAGGGCGGGTCTTTTCAAAAATGCATCAAAATCCTTGATCCTTTAAGAACGTTTGTTGAACTTTCTATGCCCATGTATGGTCATTCCTGCCAATAAAACAAGTCTTGTACATATTTAACTACAGGGTTTACTTGGAATTAACCCATCTATTGAAATTCATCAGTGACAAGAGATGAAAAGTATGAAGGATCACACTCAGGACAGGTATTTTAAATGATCAGCACGTGTTGGTGTGCATAATCATCCTATCCAGCTTTAATACTCAACCACTCTTCTTGAAACTGATGGTTGTGTAAAACATTTTTTTTTGTGCGTGTGTGGGGAAATTCTTTTTCAAGCAATAATTTAGGTATATCTCTGGACAAACTACCCGGATTGCAGGTGTTATTGTAAATATACTCTAACAGATGACTATAGTGTTAGTCCATGATAGAGACAACAGAAGACCCACTGCAAGAATTATGAGCAATGCATTGTATACTGTATTTTTTACAGGAAGAAATGCTTATGCTGGTGCTGAAGTAGCAGAAGCAGAGATTTGCAGAATACAGAAGGTGGTTCTCTGATGGGCATAGCTCTTGATCCTAGAGCAGATGGTCCAGAAAATATGCCACACAAGCTGCTGAAAATAAAGGATTCTTCATACCTTCTCCACAACACTTGAAAAGACAATGGAGTGTTTAATCAGAGGCTTCAAATCAGCTGCAAGCAGCTTTCACCCTCCTGAACCAGTCTTAGTCATTTAAGATATTAGATCTTAGAAGGAATATAAGATTATCATATTTTGCCCCACTACACTTCATATGGACATGCATATTGTAATGGGGCTCATAAATTTGGAAGTTGGTGCTCCCACTTTCTGTCTTCTTATTTTCATGGCCTTTGAAGGACCCAGTCTAGGTAGGCTGGGTACTTCGGAGGAGGCAGCCGCCAAAATCTCACATAGAGGGGTGGATGGTTTTTTTGGGACTAGGCCTTTGTTTCATGAGGGGTATGACTTTCAAACCTGTCTGTAGGATGCACTCTAAAATATAGCCTCTGCTCAGGCAGGCATGGAGAAACTTACTGTAAATGTAAACTTATTGGTAAAAAATGAATTGTCACACTTCATTAAATGTTGTCATTAAACAAAATTTAATATGCAATAAAATGCATCTGATTTCATGAGTATGTTGCAAAGGAATCAGCTGTTTTTTTCTGTACTTGGACACAATCTCACCCCCGATCTGGTTCAGCAGAACGTTGCAGGTCAGCTTCTATGAGAAATCCCCCTTGAGGTTTGAGCCTCTGTCTATTGACGTAACCAATGAAAAAGTAGAGCAGCGATTGGATAGCACTCCAAAATATGTCACTTCCAGTGAGGCTAAAACTCTTAGGTGATCCATGGAGCAGGGGTGGGTCGTGAAGCTGGCTGCTCGGTGCAGATTGGCAAACATATCCTAGGATATTTGACAGACAGCACCTGCGAGGAGGTTGTCCTTATGAGTCAACAATCTTATCATTCAGTCAGAACAGATCTAGTGCTGAATTCTTGTTGTGGTTTCTGGAGTTTATTATTTCAGAGCGCTCCACAACAGCAATTTTCACCCATTATGTTGATGTGTTTTATGCGTTTCAACATTTGTCAATGCAATAGCTGACTTTTGGAATTAATTACAGTAATACTATTGAGCCTCCCCTATTTTAGAGAGCAGCAGCTGCTGCTGCTTTCATGTATCTCCTGCCCTCATTGTAGCCTATTGTAGCCCATAATTAAAGCAGGTCCTGTAGCTACAGGCTTTAATCGAAATAAAGCTATCTATTGTGTGTGAGAGAGATTTATAGGCCAATAATCTAATGAGGACCCATTCAGGGCAGGTATTTTGAATAACCAGCAGGTGGCACCATCCATTAATGGGACCATATAGTAGAATATGAATTATTATAATATTCCTACCAGAAAACAAGTACTATTTTCAGCATAGAGAATGGAGCTTACTTATGTAAAACTTACTCAATAAACAAGTAAAGTTCCTGGTAAATATTAGCTGTGTACAAGATAAGTGAGGATAGGATATAAAAATACGCATTAGAATATGCAATTCTGGGGGATAAGTCAAACTGAAAAAAATGCTCGAAAAATAATGGCATTTTCGAAAAATTAACTACTCAGGTATTTGATAGCATAACTTCCATATAGTTTTTAATGTTTTCACAGCTTTGATGAAGAATGAACTAAAAATCCTTTTTTCTAATCCCATTAAATAATTGAGGTCAATAATTGAATTTCAGGAGGTTTGGCTTTGCAATCTATATTATACTGTAATTCAGGACATCTATGGTCATGTTTATTTAGGTTGGTTAAATAATAAATAAATAAAAATTACAGTTAACAACTTATAAATCTTTAACAAAAAAAAAATTCTTGACTAATCTTTAATGAGATTCCATATGGTTTTATTGCAAATTATCTCCTGGATGTTCAATACCAGAAGCTTGTGGAGGAGAATTATCGATTGAATATCAGATCTGTTTGTGATTTATAGGGAATTTTATGTTTATTAAAATCAGTTGATTTACAAATCATTATGAATTAAACATTAATGAATAAATGCTTCATGTATTACATTATCATGCATCACATTTTATTTCTGTTTTTTTTTTTAATTAAGGAAATTCCTCCCCTTTTTCTCCATATTACTTTATTGATTTAAACAGTAGGAATAAACAACTTGACTGTGTTGATGGCTTTTAATTTGGCAGGTAATCAGACACCACAGCTTCAGTTTGTAACTCTTCAGCGTTACATCCGCAAGATCAGGGGTGTCAAAGTGGTTCCAGAAAGGGCCGTGTGGCTGCAGGTTTTCCTTCCAACTAAGCAATAGCACACCAGACTCCAGTTATCTCATCAAGTCATCATGTTAAGACTGAACTCACTTGATAAGATGACTGGAGTCTGATGTGCTTTGCTTGGTTGGAAAGAAAACCTGCAGCCACACGGCCCCGTTTTGGAACCAGTTTGACATCCCTGCCAAATATGGATGTAATTTTGTTTTTGCACCCACCTTGCTCTGTTTTAAGCTCTGCCTCTAAGACTGGATGCTGCTTCCTGAGTCTCAGCCCAATCAATGATCACCTGCATGCCATTTAAAGCCTGTGAAGCTGTGCTTCATGGCCTCTGGGCCATTTGTCTGCCATACTCCTCTGTCGCTGTCATAGCATCTAATGGGCTG